TTTAGGGTTTAGGATTTATGGTTTAGGACTATCATAGGGATCCATTCCCCCATTCCCTACTAAGCAGCAGACAGTATCGGCGCCCAGAGGGGTGGCCGAGCACGGGAAGTTTCATGATCTGTGGCATGGACCACGGCAGTGGCATCAGTAAGGAGGGAGCAAAATCTACTGCAGACATATTCCAATAAAACCGGTTCGATACTGGTAGCGCCATCATCATCATCATCATCATCAGCATCATCAACAGCAACATCATCATATCAATATTCATCTGCATCTTCACCTTCATCTTCAGTATATTCATCATCACCTTCACCGCCATCATCATCATCATCATCATTATCATGATCTGGGTTGTGAATTAGAAACCATGTTGACAGTCAAACATTTTCTGTTTAGGGCTACTGCGGCTCATAGGGCATAGGATCAACTACGATACAATACATCAGCTGTAATAGGCTTGAATGCCCCTAGAATCGTGAGTTCCTACGTAGGGCCAGGACGCTTTAGGGGGTCTCTAGCTTATGGAATAGGGATAGGAGGGACTCGTTTCTCTCGCAGCCAGCCTTTAAGCTTTGGTGTTTCTTCTAAACCCTAAACCCTAAACCCTAAACCCTAAACCCTAAACCCTAAACCCTAAACCCGTAGTGTAGCGCATTTCCTAGTTTAACCTTTGAGTTCCTCAGTGCTGGTGAAACAGATAGGGCATGGACGGGCTTTCTCTTCAAATGGAAGATGCATGGCTTCTTGACATTCATGGACAAAAAACTTTTAAATGGCCCTAAACCCGGAAGCCCCAACAGACGAATAAACCCAGATTCCGAACTGTCCTCATTTCAAAGACCCTGCCCTTCTTCACATTTCGCCGGGTTGACCCGTGTGCTCTGGGCTGAAAGTTATGTTTAGGATTTAGGGTTTGTGGGCTGATCGCATCCCACATTTTTTTTTTGGGGGGGGGTTTAGGTTTAGGAATTAGCGATGAACAGTTCAGCAACTTGTCTAGCCAGGCAACCCTTAGCCCCGAACCCACGCCTGAGGACCTTGGAGAAAACAGGTGGGCGGCAAGGACAAGCGGTGAGCCGTGGCTCGTGTTCATCCTTCCCCGGCTGTTGGGAAACTGGAGTGTTTATAACCCCAATTAAGGGACTTATAACCTTACTTACTAAGTCCCATGATCCTCCAAGTACAGTTTCTAATCTTTCAGATCTGCATTGGCGAACAACGTCTCAAACGTTGTGCATACAGTATGAGACTGCTAATTAAATTGTCCAGGTTTCGCTGCCGAGTTTGACAGAGGGATGACACGAGCAGATCTGCGAGCTACATCATGAATCATGAATAAGATAGGGGCCGTGATAATAGTTACCTATACTATTTTGGGCGGTTCCTTGTTATGGTTATAGTGGAATGGGCCCAAAACCCTATCTTATTTATTAAGGCTTCTATATTATCTGGTAACGATGGAAACCTATTGGGTGATTTCACACGCAGACGGCTGGAGAAGACTTGGGGAAAGGAAGGATACTATAGGGGCCTTAATAATTACCTATACTTGTTTGGGGGGGCTCCTTATTATTATTACAGTATAGCATACCCCAAAACCCTATTCTGACTATTTCAAGGCCCCGGTATTACATGTTGGACCCGGAATCGAATCTTCACCAGCATGTTTTTCCTAAGGGCCCAAGCCCATCACGACCCTCTCTCAGTTCAACCTGCATGACTTACCATCCTAAAGCCAGGGTTTAGGATTTAGGGTTAAGGGTTCAGGAAGATGGACGCTTAGGGTTTAGGAAGTTTGAGGTTAAGGGTTTAGGGTTTCGGGCTCAGAAAGCCTTTAAGGTTTCAACTTTCGGGGCTTTGGTATGATGCCCGCTAGCTGGATGTTCGGAGCTCTACTTCAAGGATGATGGGACTTAGTGACTAGGGATCCTTGAAGGGTTCCTTTAAGGCATGAGCAGGAGTTTAAGGTTCAATATAAGCAAGGTAAGTATATCGTTACTTCTAGTTACTTGTAACCCCAATCGTGGTACTTGAAACCTTACTCCTGAGTCCTATGATCCTTTCAGTAGGGTGAGGTGGCAACCTGGCCACTTCCACCTCATGTCTCAAGCTCTCAAACTCCTTCGCTTTAGAGTTGGGGGTTTAGGGTTTAGGGTTTCCTACTGGATAAGGGGCCCTGACTGGGTAATACGGTTGATGGACAAAATCCTGCATGACCTTATATACCTAAACTATGGGATTTATGGTACTATACTATAGTTGGGTCATGCAGAATTTTGTCCATCAACAGTATCGGTTTAGCTTTTAGGGTTTGGACTAGACTAGGAGCTTCGGCTTCGGGTTGCGAGTAGCTTCAGAGTTCAGGCCACACCTGTGTTGATCCATTGCTCCGTGAGGATGCCGGATCTAACCAGATCCCAGTACCATGGAAGCCTGAAAAGTAACTACTGTAATTCTTGTCCGTACCATAGAAGCCTGAAAAGTAACTACTGTAATTCTTGTCCGTACCATAGAAGCCTGAAAAGTAACTACTGTAAGTCTTGTCCCTAGTAGAGCCCTTTTTTTCGAGTATAGTTATAGCGTGAGTATACCCCAAACCCAATTCGATCATCCGTAAGATCCCAATGCTACAGCCTAATAGTGCCCCTTGTAGTACCCTCAACGAAGCCATTAACTGAACCCTGCTCTAATCAATTAAGACCCCTTGGTTTTCTGAGGGCTGCGGACTCCAAGCAGTTGCAGTGAGCCAGGTGGACCTTCGAAAAACCGTCACGCACTTCGTCGAGATCATCAATAGCTGGTTCGGTCCTCGAATGAAAGTGAATATGAATATGATTGTGAGTATGAACATGAATATGAAAACATATATATATATACACATGCATATATACATCTGCTACGATTTTTAACTTAAGCTTATTAAGTTGGACAGCTGAACAAGGATTTCATTTTGGTATTTCTTGTAGGGTTGAGCAGATACTTAGGTTATCATAGGACTTCGTATGCAGCTCAAAGCATACGGGTACCTACAGTTTCCTCACCAAGCGCACTTGCAAACTGTACTTTTAATTTCTCACTTCCCTCTATTCACACTGCACCCCCGGACCTCCGAGAGCGCTTAGAATCCTTCTAGGGGTTTAGGGTTTAGGGTTTAGGTATAAGCGTTGGACTACCTGCTGTTATGCTGTACCTGATGCTCAACACGTACCAGATAGGATGCCCAAATGTATTCACTGCTTGAGCCCCTGGACCCTCAAATGGGTAGGAATGAGCTCGACTCGGCGCCATGGTATCAGTGTTGAGTTTTTTTTTTTTGGGGGGGGGGCGCTACCCAGCATCACTTACCAAGTTGGAAAGCTTCTACAGTTGCAGGAAGTGTTCTCAATTTCGATGTGGGTTGGCCTGTGGGTGTTTTAGTTTCAATGATTCCAACAATTGGTTCTATAAGGGCTCTAAATACTTATATCTTTCAGGTCTTTAAAGGCCAACCCACACAAACTGGAGTCCAAGCTTTTCGACGGCCCATACCATGAAGCTCCTAAGATAGCATTTAGTTTATTATGTCTGCGTAGCGAACGGCGACAGCGCGCAGGATAAGGGTTTAGGGTTTGTGGTTTAGGGGCTGAAGTTTAACAGGGTTTATAGGGTTTTGCCAGATAAATCTCTTACACAGACCTTCTAGGCTAGTCGGCTAATCTTGCAAAGCACTGCACATTCGGAAAATCGGCAAACTTGGAAGCTTGCGGAGCCAGCTACAGCTAAAGTAGACAGGCCTTAGCAGGGACCATATCTGGACCCCCCGAGGTATGTTAGCAGTCTGTTATACTGTTATAGGTGCTGGGCCATGGTTCTACATCCACGAAGCCTGGCGTCACTCTACAACCCTAAACCGGAAAACAAACCTCAAACCCTAAGCCCTAAACCCTAAACCCTTTCTGTCAGACCTACTGGGTTGAGGCCGGACAAGTCGCAGCACTCCGGTCAGTGTGAGATGCGCGCCAGGGCCTCTTTCGAGGTTGTCGGGATACTATAGGCGCCTAAATAATCTACCAATACTATATTGGGGGGGTTCCTTATTATATATATATATATATATATATAGTCTAGTGGTCGCCAAAAACCTATTCTGATCTTTAAGGCCCCCCACATTACAGATTCAAGGTCTCGGGTTTGAGGCTCTGGCATTTGGGGTGTGAGGTTTGGGATTCGGAGTGTATCGTCGGAATTTTCAAAAATCTGGGGACGTAGCAAGCAAGGCTCTATATTTAGGATAACTAGAGTAGTAGCAGTAGCTTCAGCTTCTCCTACGGCTAGCTACAACCCCAATCGAGGTATTGGTAACCATCCTTGCTATGGTGCTTGAAGGTTCATAGTCGGGTTACCAATTTTAGGGGCCAGGGTCTCGGGGTTTTCATGGTTTAGGCTAGGGTTTCGTATCTTACCTGTTTAGGGTTTAGGGTTTAGGGTTTAGGGTTTCGTATCTTACCTTTTTCCAGTCGAGCTTGACATATCGCATGCAGGGGGCTGAAGGTGTGGAAGAGTTGGCGTTGAGGTGCTGCTTGAGTCTTGTGCGACGCTACTCTGGATTCAAAAAGCCTTCACCACGAGGCCTAAACCCTATAAGCCCTTAATCCTGATCCCTAAACCCTAAATCCTATACGCTCTAAACCCTAAAGCCTAAACCGCAGCCATTGCTGTTTCGGCTCTCATCCACAAAGCAGCCCAGCGCTCTCCCAACTCATGCCACTTAAAGGGTTTAGGGTTTAGGTTTCAGGGCTTAGGGCTTGTGGGGTTTATGTTTAGGTTCAGGTTCAGGGTTTAGGGTTGTGGGTTTAGGACGCGATTCCGAGGTTCCTCAGCTGGCAACTGAAAGTCTTCGGCCGTTAAAACCAAGCACTTCAACCACGGTTTAGGGTTTAGGGTTTAGGGTCTAAACCCTAAACCCTAAACCCTGAACCCTAAACCCTAAACCCTAAACCCTATAAACCCTGAACCCCATGACTCCAAAACATGTACCGTGCGACTCAGCCACTATGCTGCGTGTCATGGCGCTCTCGGGGGAAGAGGTGGGTTCGTCTTGAGTGCACATTTTGCCTGAAGTTAGCACGATAGGGATTGATTCATGTTTCTCTTCACATATATACATATTTACTGTAATGCAATGTAATGTAATGTAATGTAATGTAATGTATTGTAATGCAATGCAATGTGACGAAATGTCGTGTGCTGCAGTGTAGTGTAGTGTAATGTAAGGTATTGTGTTGTAGTGTAGTGCAATGCATTGCAATGCAATGTAATGTAATGTGTGTAAGTGGGTACGTATGTATGTATGTATGCATGCATGTATGTATGCATGTATGTATGTATGGATGGATGTATGGATGTGTGTATGTATGTATGTTTGTACGCATGGATGCATGCATGTATGTATGTATGTATGTCTGTCTGTCTGTCTGTCTGTCTGTCTGTCTGTCTGTATGTACGTGTGTATGCATGCATGTACGCGCACATTTATGTATGCATGTATTGTATGTATGTATGTATGTATGTATGTATGTATGTATGTATGTATGTATGTGCGTATATGGTTGTGTGTATATATATATATATACATATTCTAGACGAGCTACTTGCGGTATTATGGTTGTTAGGGTAATGCAGCTTGTCGGAGACAGCAGGAACCCTTGCAAAAGCTTTCAAGCATCGGTGTCCAGCCCTTGCAGAAGCATTATTGCACCAATTTGCCCGGAGAGGTTGCGACAATTCCTCTCATCGAGCTGAGCGATGTGAAGTTCTTGAAGCAGCGGCTGAACCTGCAGCACGGCCTGCAGCCGCGTTTCAGGCAACGGCTTCTCTACAAGGGCAACACTTTAGATGCTTAGCTGCCCGATACCCAACCTTTCAACTTTTTGGGTTCTTATAATTTAGTAGTAATCTGAAAGTTTAACCTTTTATTCCCTGGCTAATGGGGGAAGTAAGGATGATGCAGTCAGATTGGACTCCATAATGGATCTCGATGCTGCTTCTGCGGCGTTTTACGAGGAGCCTGCCAAGGCGAAAAGACTCGCAGCATCCGAGCACATTTCCGTGGGCCATGCGGCGTCAAAGCGGCAGCTGGATCCGGGGGGCAGCCTACCACCACCATGCAGGCAAAAGCTTTTCCACGAGCAGAAGAATTCGAATGACCCTGTCAAGCTGGACACCGTGATGGATCTGCAGGTTCTGATATTGCCATTCTCTGCAGCTTCAAAGAGGCAGCACAAAGAGCTCCACCAAGCGGCTCGCTTGGGTCTTTTGGACGAGGCTGGAGATTCTGTGCGTGTAAGCTGGGGATGACAACTCCATCCTGGTTTAGGGGGTTCCCACAGACTCCGATACCCTTTAATTAAGGGAAAATTATAGTAGGATCCCTAATATGATTTCAGGTTTAGGGTGTTTCCGCCCAACTCCCCATCGACGGGATTTGCAGATCATCGGAAAATCCCTCCCAACCCCCCTCCGAACACACCTTCGTGAGCCGTGAGGTTGAAGCTCTGCTACAGCTTCCCAGGGACCCGGATGCAGCAATCGATGCTTTCGGTCGTACACCGCTGATGCATGCATCTGAGAGGGGCCACATTGAGGTTGTGGAGCTGCTCTTAGAAGCTCGTGCTCAGGTGGATTCCAGACTTTTCAGTGGTAAACCTTCTTGCTATTTGTTTCAAGATTCCTGTGAGAAGAATACAGCTACCTCAAAAATCTACACTATTTTCCCAGTGGGATATGGAACAACCTAGGATCTGTGCAACAACTACGGTGGCGCAGCGCTGACGGATGCGGCCTCCTACGGTCGGTATCGCGTCGTTCAGTTGCTGATAGAGGCTGGTGCCCAGAAGGATTTGCGAAACAATCGCGGTCGTACAGCGCTGATGGATGCCGCAATCAACGGCCATGCTCAAGTCGTACAGTTGCTGCTGGAGTCTGGTGTTGACAAGGATTTGTGCGACGATTTAGGCCTCACCGCACGAATGATGGCACAATCAAAGCAACACGATGAAGTGCAGCGATTGCTGGAGTCCGAGGATGCTGCAGATCGGCAAGAACATGTGCTCAAGCCGTGCGATAGTGGCCTTGATAATTCGAATCGGGTTTTGGGTCATAATATCAATGCGGTAGCTACAGTCAGGAACCCCAAGGAATAATTTTGTAGGTATTCAGGCCCTATATATCTCACAGGGTGTTAAGGTGCCGGCCTTGCAATCAAAGGGCTCTGAGGCTCCGGGGAGCCATTTCAGTGTTTCGTCATATTACGGCCACATAGGACGAAAACAGCCTTCTGGTAAAGAAATTATTATGATGCTCAAATCTTCTGTAATTCCTATTATTCGCAATACTGTCAGTATTGAGGGGTACCGAAATATTGGGGAACCTAGAAGAACATGAGCAAGACTACAAAACAGGTTCTGTAGCTTGATGAAGGTAGATCTTACATCATATATCTCCTTCAGAATGGGAAACTCATGTAAGTTGTAACCATAGAAACGATATCCCTAAGCTCGCCGTTGTGGCAACTGGCTGGACAATGCATGTCTGTTCGAGTTGACAGTTGACTGTCCTGAGGCTCCCAGCCCCAGCGTAAACCCCTAAACCCTAAACCCCTAAACCCCCAAACCTCTAGACCCCTAAACCCTACACCCGTACACCCCTAAACCCTGCACCCCTATAAACCCCTAAACCCTACACCGCTACACCCCTAAACCCCATGAATCCTGAAGAGCCCCTCGCTTCAGCGCTTCTACGCCTGCTTCAGCATGTGGGTAGTTCTCAAAGTCACGGTCTCTTTCGGGGTCCCCTTTATCAAGGAGCCATACTACGGTTGATGGTATAAATCCTGCATTACCCAAAAAAGGGATATGCCATCATTCCCATAGCCTAGGGTCCTTAAGGTAATGCAGGATTTATATCATCAACAGTATTTTGGGAGACCTAAAAGGGACCTTAATGTAGAGAACTACCTTTTTTTTTTCGTACCCTTGTAGAAATCCTATAGGACCTCTTGATGGATCTCTTCAAAGGGACCCTTTAAAGAGACCCTACTTTAGAGAACGACCCGCATGCTTAGAGGTCCGTGATGTGAAGAGAAAAGATCTGCCAGACTACGTGGTTCAGGACTGATGAGGGTTTAGGGTTGAGGGGTTTAGGGTTTAGGGGTTTGGGGTTTAGGGGTTTAGGGGTTTAGGGTTTAGGGCTTAGGGGTTACTAGAAGGGGTTTGTTAGGGCTTTAGGGTTTAGGAATTTAGGGGTCCACGTATGTACTCATATACTTAGTTTATACGTTCGCCGTACTGTAGTTCCTTGTAGCGGCCAAGTATGTGCTACATATGGATACATGGAGCTTGTAGGGGAAGTTTGCCGGGCTTCGATTCTCTGGGTTTCCTAGGCTTGTCGTACGGTCCACTATATCCCCGAGAAACTACCACGGTCACATCGCAGATAACTTCTGTCTTAGCTCTTGTTGCGGGGTGTTGGTAAGTCTCAGGCCGCAAGTTCATTCCAGTGTCAGGATGTGTCTAGCTTCGGTTTCAGGGTTTAGGGTTTAGGGCTTAGGTTTCAGGGTTTAGGGCCGTTTACGGCTAATGATTTTTAGTATAGGACATTTTCAGGTGGGTAGTTACCGTTATAGGAGCCTGATAGAAGGTCTATATACCTTATAGAAGCCTTATAGAAGCCTTGCATACCCTAAACTCCCCCCCTGTAGTTACCGTTAAATGTGTGAGCTTTGAGAGTGCAGGCTTTTCCTTGAGAGCTTGAAGTGTCCCGTACTCAGACCGTCATGGACTTGGTAATTGGGGTTCATGAGGGTAAATATGTTTAGGTTGTGAAACAGTAGAGTGTGGCGTGCATGGTGGTGTTAAACTGCATGGTGAAGGCTATGACAGCTATTCTTTAGGCTCCGGTAGGTCGTCAGAGATTCTACAACACAGCAGCGGGCAGTGGGGCCAGCCGGAAGGCAAGTACTTGGAGGATCATGGGACCTGATTAGTAAGTGAGGTTATAAGTACCTTATTCGGGGTTCACAGTAATTATAGGTATAGCTTCGTTATTTGTTGTTACGAAGTCCCATGATCCTTTAAGTATCGGGGCATTCGGAGAGGACACCCGAAAGGAAGTCTCCCATGTCAGCTGACCTGAGTTGTAAATTGCAAACTTCTCGAAGTCACACAACCGCCTCCTCTTCATAAGGAAGACTATTCCTTGCTGAACCCTAAACTCTATAAGATGCCTCTCATAATTTCATGACATTTGGGTCCTGTAGAGACCCAAGAGACCCGGAATTCCGTGGTGAACAACCAGTGAAGGAACTGCTGGGTTCAGGGTTTAGGGGTTTAGGGTTCAGGATTTAAACGACTTCGTCTCCACATTCCATAATACTCGCAATACAGTCTGTGGAAGCTTTTGGCGCAAGTCGACCATGCTACAGAGCGTAAGTCTTGCTTTCCGAGCATACCTTCCGCTAAACCCTGCCTCCAGCTACCATGGCATTACCTTCTACTTTTGAAAGCCCTGACTAAAAGACCCTGGCAACTATACGAAGATTCTATTGGGGACCCTGCGCAAAAGTAGGCTTCTGCATGTCAAGGTAAATCCGAAACCTAAACCCTAAACCGTTATAGACCCAAAGCCCTAAACCCTAAACCCCTATAAGCCCTAAACCCTAAACCCTAAACCCCTATAAACCCTAAACCCTAAACCTGGTCTCCTCTTTTCCCAGCAGGATGCGAAGAAGCCATCCGGTCCAGGCAAGGGACACTTGAACACTTAAAGGATCATGGGACTTAGTAACTAGGGTCCCTTTTAGGTGTACCTTCTGAAGGGTTACTCTGAGGGTTCTACAAGGGCTTTAAGGGTACTTAAAGGATCATGCGACTTCGTAGCTATAGGTACAGCTAGCTTAGTAGGGTTCCTTGAAGGGTTCTAGTGAAGGGCATAAAGGGTTTTAACAGCCCCATGGGACTTGGAAAGGCTTATACTTAAGGTACTATATCTATCACTACTTAATAATTTAACCCAAAAATATATACGCCGTAGATTACAGCGTCAAGAACGTCCTAAAAGACGGTATATTCCCTATTTCTGGTGTATAGGGGCCCCCTTCGCGGACCTACTGTCATTCTTATCATCTTTATTGAAGTTATTGTAATGTTGCTACTGTCACTTCGGGCGATGTTTCGAACAATTCCTGCCTGAGTGCCGCAGGCAAAGGGCATTACTTGTAAACCTCTGAGAGTCTTAGGCGCCCTGCACCGTACAGTCACAAAATACACCCTCAGCCTCAAGAGCCTTCACAGAAGTTCAAGTTTAGGGTTTAGGGTTTAGGACCCTTTTGTGCTGGCCCGACTGTTTGCTTGCTCAGCATAGAGGGTTCTGCAGGACTGCAAAGTACCTGCAAACGGAGTCCCCCTAGTGCTACAGAGGAACAACAAAGCGGATCCATCATTGGCCTAAAACCTGAACCCTACACCCCCAAACCCTAAACCCCTAAGCCCTCATCCCTAAACCCTAAACCCCTAAACCCGAAACCCTAAACCGTAAACCCCTAAACCCGAAACCCTAAACCAGGTCGCCGGCTTCAGGATCTCGGGATCTGTTTCAGGCTCCACAGCTTCTGCCTCGAGGCTGCCGCGCTGGCCGCAGTTTAGCGATCCCCTGCCGCAGGAGTATTTTGCGTCAGAGCACGTACCCCCTCGGTGGCGTGGCGAGTTCGCTGGGCATCGGACGCCATTCCCCTTCTTTGGCGAGCGAGGTTGGTATTGAGATTCCGACAATGAAATTATAAAGGAGCCTCAAATCCTGTTCTAATCATTAAGGCCCTTACGTTAGGCTTTCATGAGGCCCAGGGTGCTTTTTAAAGGCTTTGACTGCGAACCTTGGGTTTATTGAAATCAGGCACAAGCAACCCGGTACCTGCGGCGCGGGCGGCAGACGCCCTCGTAGTAGTTTCTTTGGCTATGTCACTCTGCTGTAACATAGCCCCGAACGCTTTTCCAATGTTGCAGGCCCCTACATTATCATCTCTTGAAGTTCGCAACCTCGAAGCAGCACAGGGCCTTGGTAAGGCTCTTCATAGTCGCATCCTTGCTGCAAAGACCATTACAAAAGTTTTAGGGATAATAGGGTTCAGGGTCTGGGTTTAGGGAAGGGTTTAGGGTTGAGGGCCAAGGGTTTGAAGATCACACACACACACATGCAGTCACAATTACTCTACCACAGCCTCGGTTCCCCTCCAAAGCAGGTCGGAGCCAGACGGACAGCTCGCTGGAAGCAGCCTTCCAGCTCCATTATTTTCGTTGCTGGTTGGGTCATCTTCAAAGTAGCGGAGACTCGTCTTCTTTCCCGCTGATAGGCATATTTAGGTTCAGGGTGCAGGTGCTATGATTGAGGGTGTCGAGCGTTCGGCTATCAGAGTTCCGGCATTACAGGTTCTTTGTCACATACATATTGCTCTAGAAGACTTACAGGAACTCAACCATTCGAACCATAGACCGTGTAAGCCCCGTTTAGGGTTTAGGTTTTACGAACATCAGTCAGCTTATAGAAAGCATGTTCGCCTTTGAATCGCAATTCATGAGATAGCTTGTCCCAAACCATGTAGAAGGCCCACGATTACCCTTCCTGGATCCCTGCCAAGAGTAGTGACTTCCAAAGGCAGTTCAAGGCAACAAATCATGCTGATAAAGCCTGATAGCTTTTAAGACCCTTCATGAAGCATCCTAGACCGCAAAGCCCCGAACCTTAGCACCTTAAATCCATCCTAAATCAGAAACCCGAAAGAACGTCATCAAACCCTGTTTAGAACTCACCGGGAATGCTCCCTGCTTAGTCTAGAGGGCTTTCTAGACTCTATCACCTGGAGGTACCCTACACCCTGAAACGTAAGTCCCAAACCAAAAACCCTCATAGATTCCTCGGCAGAAGCCTCGTAGAAGGAAGCAAGCCTTCCAAAAAAGCTTTAAAACCTAAACCCTGAGCCTTGAACCCTAAACCCTAAAAACCTAAACGCTGAGCCCTAAAGCCTCCGAACAAAAATCTTCTCCACAGCTCCCTGAGGCTCTTGCCTTGGCTGAGGAGGCCGCAGCAGAAGGTGTTCCGATGCGGGGTCCCCAGTGAAGACACGGCCCTGTGGCGTCCGGGATTTGGGGCT